TCATGTTTCAAACATTGCCAGCCGATCCCCCAGATTGTTGATTCGCTCCTCTCAAACTGGCTCGAAAGGCTCTAAATATGATCGTGGTGCTACGCCATTCGCATTTCGTTTCCAAGGCGCGCCCTATTTCCGAGCACTGCAATGAGATTACTGACCAAGACGGGAGCGACTAAGTCCCGGACAGTGCGAGTGGATCGAGCGGCGCATAAATTATCACCTGGCCTCTAAACCATACTTCTCTAGACATGCTGCGGTCTCTCTCGCATCAACACCTCTGATGATGACCACATGGTGAAATAACCCGGCAGAACCTTACTTTTAATCGGCATTTTCCTCGAGCAACATTAGACTGCCGCATCTGACGGCGCTGCTTCTCGCCGCAGCTGCGAGCCCGATTGCCCGCACGCAGAAGCTGTTCACCGTGTCCCGCATCCGGCTGACCACCGCCAGATCCGGACTGTTCTGCGGGGCACCGACGAACGCTTCTTTGTGTAGCGACGCAGTGGAAGTTGCAGAGTTCGCGAATGATGCTCATCCCTTCAAAACTGATTTTGTTTAGATACTCAGTGTAGTTTAGTCGTAAAGACCTACATTTTGGTGCCTTTCGCTGCACCTTCCACAGCGTCAGTTGACGTCGTGGAAGGTGCAGCAAAATTGACCAAAATGCATGTCTTTATGACTAGACGACCCGGGGAATTTTTCCGATAAAACAAAGCAAAAGCAAAAATAGTTTGATTCAATACAGAGCCTTTACCTACTTACTTTTATCGAGTGTTTTCCCAGGCATAGGTCTGATGTGTGCATGCTATACGGACTGTCTTTGTCATTTTTCTTGTCTTAATTAATTGGCATCATTTGCAAGTGGAAGGTATTCTGTTCGGGATAACCATGATGCGCATGAATTTAGAAATACACGTGGTTGTTGGCGCCTGAAGACACAATCGCTAGACCGAATAAATTTATTTAGCATCAGTATCTAATTACCCCCATCCATACTGCTTGTAGCTTTCTTACCGCATACCTGAGCGTGCCTTTGATATGTTCGCACGTTTGGTGTAAGTGATAATTAAGTTGTACACTTTTACTCTATATGGTGACACTCATGGTGCATTTTTTTCGGTGCATATGGTGCCACCAGAGCATGCCCTTCCAGAAATCGGCAAATAATACATCTGTAACTATATTGCCATGCTACAATATTAACAATGTCTTAATGATGTACTGTCATTTTTACCTATCACCTTTGACTGCTTGATTCTACCTGTGTTCGGACAACCTGTGGTATTCTGGCTAGCTCATGGGTCATTTGCAAATTGCATGCGTTCTTTTATTGACATCTCCAGAACACTTTCAATGACATTGTACATTGGTTCCATAACCCAGCTTATCAGTATGAAAAGCAACAGTATGAAAACCAAGCGATCAAATTCATCAACTTCATTGTTCCTACACGTCCTGGATGCGATAATTTTTATATCAATAGCGATGTTACGCATTGCTCAAACCACACGTCGGCTGTGGGCCGTAAAGCAATGGTGGACAGCTCATTCGTCTCAAATAACGTGGCATCAATCCTTACATACTTTCCAAAAAACAATAACTGCATTCGCCTTTAAAAATGGCGTAGACGAAATCCTTGAAATCCAAATCTAAATCCGCATGAAATCGACACGGTCGGGTCACAGTCAATCCTAGATTTCCAGAATGGCAAAGGGCGGATCCCAGATCTTTAGGTATCTTTAGGAGTGGGCTCAGTCCCACACCTGGCTCCTATTGTTCCTGCGGTCTCTGCGGATAGGTCGAGGATGAAGAAACAAAAAAAATGTTTCCGCAGAAAATTATACGTTGAATCCGAGAACAGATGGTGGGTTTTGCTTCTGCTTAACCTGGTTTCCGTTCATTTCAGATCTGGCACCCAATAAGTTCCTAGTCTTATGATGCTGCCGAGAAAAGGTCTAGTGAATATTTCTAAACTTGGTGGTAATAAGCATAAAGCACACAATTATTGGTGAAAAACATATTCTTAGCCTTTACCTGTTGCATAATATACTGGTTTTAAGACCCGAACATTTATTTTTGCCATGTGCTTCGACGATTACCTGCCGGCATAGGCCATGCCTTCATACATATATATATATATATATATATATATATATATATATATATATATATATATATATATATATATATTGTAGGTCGATAAATGTCAGCACAAAAGCCCTGAGTCCATGATAATTGTCATGCCTCGGACTACTGTCCCTAGCACATTGTCTTGTGAGTTCTCACCGCCTTGTACATCGACATACCTTGACGGGAACCCCATCACCTCTCGCTTTTCATGTTTGGTGTCTGGTGTAACGCAAACCACTTCTCATTACTCTATATCATTTTGTCTCCACGTCCATCAGGCTGATGAAGTAGTCATAAGCAGAACTCCTGCCTTTCTCTCTGCCATCCGTTTGACGAGAGGCCGCTGTGCGTGGCCGGTTTGGCGACAAGCGAGGCCGTTTCTGTACCATTCTTCAGACGATCTAAACGGAGTGATCACCGCCTGTCGCAGGGAGATTGACGCCATCTGGAAGTCCGCTGCCGGCGATCCAGCCAGCAGGGACAGCACGAGCTCGTCAGAGAGCGCCGGCCAGCGCGTTGGAACGGCGGGCTACACCAGCCACTGAGCAGTGTGTGAGTAGAGAGCAGTGAGTCGCAACGCCGACCACTTTAAGACCTGACGATGGGACGTTGTGTAGATGAAGCCTGACGATGGGACGTTGCATGGATGAAGCCTGACGATGGGACGTTGTATAGATGAAGCCTGACGATGGGACGTTGTATAGATGAAGCCTGACGATGGGACGCTGTATAGATGAAGCCTGACGATGGGACGTTGTATAGATGAAGCCTGACGATGGGACGTTGTATAGATGAAGCCTGACGATGGGACGTTGTATAGATAAAGCCTGACGATGGGACGTTATATGGATGAAACTTGGATTTCGTCCTTAGCCGCCTTCTCACAACGTTATAATGTATTCAGACTAGAATAATACAGGTCTCTCTTGTTCCTCAGTGAAGTGGATTTCTTTCTTCGTGGGCGTTCGGCGACCAGAAGCATTCTACCTCTTGGCTAAATAAGATCGCATAATTAAGAAAGAGCGCGGAGGTGGAGTGGTGCGCCTGTCAGTACCGTTATTACTGTTGCGGCTGTTGTTTCAGTGGGTCACGAACGGGTTCACGGGGAGCTTTTTCCGTACAGTCATCATTCAAGCCCGGCGCCTCCTAAGAAGGTTTGGCGTCTGCTGGAATTCAGGTGTTGAAACACATGATGAAAATATTTGCTGGTGACATCATAGCTGCCTGTCTTGAGCCGGCAGACTCGCGTGGGCGGTACTGCTGGCTACATTCCGGGCGTATTCTACGCCAAAATTACGGGTATTCTACGGGTATTCTATGCCAAAATTCTCCCACTGGTGCTCTCTTAAGAATATATGCATACGTAATTCACTAGCAATTGTTGGAAAATAGACGACGATGGAAAAGAAGATACTTGTTCGCACAAAACAATAAAAAAGGAAAGTTATATTTCGTTCTTAAGTTTTCCATTTATGCTGTGCATGCCATTTCATGAACAGATAGTCCGTGACATGATGCAGCTTCAAGAATGGACTGCCATGACTTTTCATAGATCACGAAATGAACAACTTGGCCGGTTTGAAATACTATAAATAAACAAATAAATAAACATATATATATATATATATATATATAAAAGTGTGTGTATGTGTGTATGTGTGTGTACATATATATTAGTCACCAGTCGACACGACAGCCTGAAAAGTCGCCATATGAGCCTAGGTAAATGTCAATTCAATCCTGATGTTTGCGTACTAATACAGATTGGAGTTGCTCTATTCCTTTCATTTCAAGGTATAGATTATGAGCTCTTTTTGAGCAGCCTTTTGGAGGACCGAGAGAATATTTTCTTGGACAAAGGGAATGCTTCACCTGAGATAGAGGAGATTGCATGCATCGATTCCTCAGCAGTCTCTATTAAAGTGGACATATATCCAGATTTTGAAAAAGCTAATGCAACAACTTCACGACGCACTAGTTGAAAAACCAGAGATGAACTGCCAAATGTTTGCAGATTTATGTATCATTGTGGTGTTTCTTGTCTAATGATAAGGTCTCATGATGTTAGCCATGACAAAACAACTGAAGGGATGAATCTGTTTTCAGGTTCCTTACCACTTGCTGTTTTGACACTAATGGTCTTACAAGATTGAGTATGCGCACCTGGAATAAAAAATAAGATTGACAGGCCCATGCGAGGGGTTTGGGAAACTGGCCTTGTGGGAACGGAGCTGGTCTTCAAGCTTGGGTGGGGTTGGCTGTTGGCTTTTTAAATCGAAAAGGTGGCAGCTCTTGGTGGCGCAAATCAACGAATGGAAAAGATTCGGATATTATTCGTGAAAATTTAGTTCTTTTATTAAAAACGTTTACGTTTTATGGTTGTTGCGAATGCATAAGAATATGAATTCTAAAACACAGCAGTTGCCTTCAATATGACCATAAGTGTGTCGCACGACGCGGATTTTGGTTGGTAAGTCCATAACAATTCACGCACGATAATTAAATTCACCTCTAAATGTACACATATTTCAATGATAAGGGTTCTGCCACGATAAAATCTTGTCAATGAATGATTTTCCATTTATTTCCCATCCATGTTTGTTGTTGTCTGGCTTGGGTCGAGTATCTCGCGCTATCATTTGTTTTTCCTTGCGTAGAGTGCGGGCACTTCCCGGGTATCCCGCCTGACTGATGACGCTAGCCACTCCAGCAATGCACCTCCAGGGCTTTACAAATGACAAAACTATTCTAACAACAAAGCGCGAGGGGGGCGCGTTTCGCGTGCCGCGTGCAGCGCAATCAATAACACCGGGCGAGCGTCCGGCCGCCGCGAGGCTCCCGGGCCGCGGCCGCAGGTGTGGAGATCTCACCGTTTACGGGGCGGGCCCGCATCTCGGACGGTCTCGTCCTGAAACAAGAGCGGAGAGCGGTGTCAGCGCGAAAGCGGTGTCAGGCGCCGCTCAGCCGCCTGAGCGGCCGGCAAATCGGAACACTGAACCGAGCTTTTCGCCATCGTGCACCACGGAGACGTCCGAGTCGTCGTTCTCGCAGCGAGCTGCGTGAGAGAGCGCTGGTATTGTTCCCATAATTGGTTCCGAGACAGCGGGAACGAGCCGGGGAGGCCTCAGCAAAACAGCGACATCCGGGGAGCGGCAGCTGACGCCGACACCAATCGGCACGCACCGCAACGCGCGGCTGAGTCGGGCAAGTGTCTGAACAAGTGGCCACGCCGGGGACGGGCAAGCTCCGCCTGATAACGCTCAGACAGACGTCTCAGGCGTTGCCGCGAGGTAGATCAATCGTCGGCGGGCGGCGGCGCGTCCCGCACCGGGCGGGGGCAGCAGCGCGTCTCTCTCAAGCCCCGTCAGTCAGCCGCCACCGCGGCCGTGGCCGAGGAGTCGGCCGACACAGCCCGCGAGGCCAGCCTCGGCGTCGGGTCACCCTCACGCGGCCGTCTGGCGGCCCCGGGGGGCGGCGCGGGGTCGAGAGGGCGCGCCTGCCGTTGGCCGATGCTGAGTTCTGCCCTGAGGGCGGCGCCGCCGGTCGTCCACCTGAGGCCCTCGGGATTCGGCTGGCATTGATCGGGATGGTGGCCAGGTACGCCGAGAGCGGCGGCGCGTCACGCAACGACCGGCGCGGCGCCCGGGACGCGACCTGACACTGAGCGGGGCGTGACCTGACACTGAGGGGGGCGTGACCTGGTACTGTGCGGGGCGTGACCTGGCACTGAGCGGGGCGTGACCTGACACCGATCAGGGCGTGATAAGACACAGGGCGGGACGGGACTCGACACAGGGCGGAAGGGGATCTTTCACAGGGCGGGCGTGGCATGACACATGGCAGGACGGGACCTGACACAGGGCGGAACGGGACGTGACACAGGGCGGGACGTGACCTGGCACCAATCGGGGCGTGAACTGGCGCAGAGCGGGGCGTGACCTGACACCGATCAGGGCGTGATAAGACACACAGTGGGGCAGAACCTGATACAGGGCGGAGCGGGACCTGACACAGGGCGGCGCGACCTAACACGGAGCCGGCCTGAAACAGACGCAACCGCACACGTGTGCCTGGCGCGAGAAGATTTGACATAGACGTGATCTGAAACATAGGCGACATGAGCCAGACACGACTTGACATAAAGGCGACGTGAATCACATGCATCCTAACGCAGGCACAACCCAACACATGAACGACCTAAAACATACCGCCTGGCAATACCTGACACAGTAATTGCCAGACACAAACGCGCCTGGGAGAGGTCGGGGCACAATCTGACATTTGGCATGTCACGATCTGAAGTGGGTAGCAATAGCTCAGTGTAACGGGACAATCGTCGTTTCGGGAGCCTTTGTTCGCCACTCGTACAAGTACATTGTGCAAAACATAGGTCTCATGGATGGCATGGGTCGGCTTTTTATCACTTAACCCCGCACGGGGAACGAAGGAAATATATGTGTTCGTTGTTGGGGCGCATCAAAAAATGACTGTCGGGGGGAAACACTTCGCTCTTGTTTTCAAAAGCTTGATTTGGTCGTTCGTTAGCCCGGAAGCAAGCATGGCACGGTTGAGGGCCCTGATTTCAGAGCCAAGGCTTCCCCTTACAACCGCGAAGGTCCACCAGTTGGCCACCTCCAATCTCCGTTATCTGTGCGGTGCACTTAGTAGGGTTGTACTTTCCGATAACTCCAACCTGTTTTCATAGCGCCTCATTTTTGTGTGTGACTGTCGCATCGTTGTAAGCTAATGAAGATTAATGCGCCAGCCACGTCCCAGTCGCGTGTGAGGCCCGGTGACTTAATAGGCTGCCCTGTGTCGGGGAAAGTGGCAAGGGCTGGCATCACGAGCCGGGCCCAGCAAAGGCTGGCATCACGGCCGGGCCCAGCGAGGGCTGGCATCACGAGCCGGGCCCAGCAAAGGCTGGCATCACGAGCCGGGCCCAGCAAGGGCTGGCATCACGAGCCGGGTCCAGCAAGGGCTGCCAACACGAAGCGGACCTAGCAAAGGCTGGCATCACGAGCCGGGTCCAGCAAGGGCTGGCATCACGGCCGGGCCCAGCAAAGCCTGGCATCACGGCCGGGCCCAGCAAGGGCTGGGATCATGGGCCGGGCCCAGCAAGGGCTGGCATCACGAGCCGGGCCCAGCAAAGGCTGCCATCACGAGCCGGGCCCAGCAAAGGCTGGCAACACGGCCGGGCCCAGCAAAGACTGGCATCATGGGCTGGGTCCAGGAAAGGCTGCCATCACGGCCGGGCCCAGCAAAGTGCGATTCTCAGGACATTTCACGAAGGACATGTGATGTGTGTGGACACCGGTTCCCGGAAAACAATGTTTTAGGTGTAAGGAGGAATCGTTTGGAGGCTCGAGCGGCCGACGAATACACCTAGGAATAACCGAATTAAACACATAGAAACAGCTAATCATGCGTATAAGTGTTCACCTGCGCAGAGCAGAGCACTGCAGCTGCAGCTGGAGCAGAGCACCTGGTCCATGTGACCGCGCGGATGTAGCGTACACCGGAAAACTACCGGCGATGTCTCTCCAAGTGCAGCGAAGCCGCTCATTAAAACGCCTCGGACATGCCGTGGAAGCTGTTGGCTCGGACAACAGCAAAATAAACAGATGAATCTCACAAGCGGCTTACCGCATCCGAGCGCCGGCTGCGGGCCGGGAGGAGTGCCAGGAGCGCTGAGGGAGGGGGGGGGGGGGGGGGCGGTAGTGCCGACGGCCCGCGGCGGCCGCTGGGGTACGGATACTAATGATCATCATTGCCGTTCACCGCCGGTCGGCTCGTGATGGCGAGCGGTCCAGCTTGAGGTGCTCCGTAACGGGGGCGTTCGTCTGGCGCCCGCGCAAAGCCGTGTGGTCGGATGTAATTAATCGCTGGGTTAGTTATCGACACTTGCATCTGGCAAGACCGCCAGTGTCGCTGCATCCCGCAGTATCGGGTCAACACAGCACCTAGTGATCGAGTATGGAACACGAAACGCGTCGACATGGAGCCGAACCTCCGTCAGCTGTGTTGCACCAGATCGGAGGTCCGTACAACATAGGTCCGTATAGCAGAGGTCCGTACGACAGAGGTCCGTACAGCAGAGGTCCGTACAACATCGTGTCCGCATAAATCATTGTTAGGTGGGAGCGATCAACATCGAAACGATGAGTCGGCGATGGGCCGCAGAGCAGAGCATCTTCGACATGTGACGTAATAAATCCCTCGTCAGAAGCTTTGTTCACAGGTAATCAACGTCTAATAGAAGCTTTGGTGTTCTCGCAGAGCAGGGTGCGGGTGACCATTTCCGCTCCAAGCTTATAGCCGTGGCCGTTGTTCAGGATGTACGCCGTTTTCACTCGTTCATCAAACTCTCCCGGATGTTCACGACTGGTTTGTATGTGTGGGCTGCTCAGAGGGTGTTCTGGCATGCGTGGCACGGTTGTATTGACCTGACTTACCCGGGTGGATGCAAGCACAAGTATCCAGGCCACGATATCACATCACTCAGAATCTCTCCGTGGACGCACGCCATCCAGAAAGTTTCGTCAGCACTGGCGGCGGCGAATGCAGGCCATTCTGACTAGCCTCCTGCGCACCCGGCCAACAACGGAGCAAAGTTGATAATAATTGTAAAGCACGGAGCCAAGTGGCCCGCGGAGGCAGTTTCGCCCCGAGCGAGCCTGCGCTGGCCGACGTCTCGACGAGTTGAAGAGAGCCTTCGCAGGCAGCCGGTCCGCTTCCACGGTCCGCAGCCGGGCACACAGACAGCACGCGCCTCCGTCACTGGAAGCCTTGCAGCTGACGTCACGTCTCGTCCGCACTCGTCTGCGGGGGAACAGCGTCCCGTCCGCACGCGACTTCAGGGGGAACAGTGTCCCGTCCGCTCGCGACTGCAGGGGAACACGGTGCCTCGTCCGCACTCGACTGCAGGGGAAACAGTGTCCCGTCCGCACGCGACTGCAGGCGTGTCGACTGCAGGCGTGCAGCTTCGCCCGAACGCGTGCGGTGGAGCTCGGGCCGTCCTCAAACGACGGGCGCCGCTCCAGACGTCCACAGGTGGAACGCGGCGTTCCAGGCCGGCCTCGACGGGCGGTTTCACCCCACCGCGTCCACGGGGAAGCCGCTCCACACGTCCACAGGTGGAACGTGGCGTTCCAGGCCGGCCTCGACGGGCGGTATCACTCCACCGCGTCCACGGAGGAGCCGCTCCACACGTCCACAGGTGGAACGCGGCGTTCCAGGCCGGCCTCGACGGGCGGTATCACTCCACCGCGTCCACGGGGAAGCCGCTCCACACGTCCACAGGTGAAACGTGGCGTTCCAGGCCAGCCTCGACGGGCGGTATCACTCCACCGCGTCCACGGAGAATGACGAGGCATGCACGCAAATGTGTGTTGCGCAGTTCTTCGGATGAGACACGTGGGAGACGCTCGGTATGAATGGCCCTCTTGGCATGTTTGCTTTACAGAATCGAATCAATCGATCTTAAACGTGGTTTGCATTTCCTAGGTTTTTCTATGGCGCCACATCAAGCATTTTGGTCACGAGCTTGTTTCATCAGCTGCATCCGTCCTCATGTGAAGAGAAATGCTAACTTAAACAGTCGCACGGAGAGAGAATCTTAACGCGTTCAGTATGCGACGTGGTTGGCTGGCTCGTCACACTTCGTATCTTTACATCATGTAGCATACTTGATAATGTCCTTATGCTCGTCGCCAATGCTGTAATGAAAAGCAAATGTTCTGATCCCACAAAATGATAGCCCACTACAAGCCTGTAAACAAAATGTCTGACATAAAAAAGTGGAACACAACTCAGATATCCAATTTTATGTTCTCTGCCAACAAACGCTGTGTCTCTCATTCATCACCGCCACCTGACTTAAGCTCAGATCCTGATGCGCGGCACCAGTTT